GAAATCGGTGGAAAGGAACCATAAACAAGTGGGGCCAACCAATAACCAGGTCATTTTTTTTGGGGAATACCAACTAACAGAATTTAACAGGTAAATTTTAAAAAAAATGCGGGAAAACTTCAGGGCGCAAAAGAGATAAACAATTAGGGGAAAGGTTGGGTTTTAACGTACCCCAAGAAAGGAGGAGGAAAGGATTTAAAACCCGGAAATCTAAAAGGGTAGTACCGAACTTGAAGAAAATCATATACGAAGAAAAATGGAGACATGACCTCCCCTAAGAAACAGGGTTTTAAGTAAGAGACATAAATAAGTGTGGGGCCCATTTTCCCCCCCCAAAAAAGGGGTTTCAACCCCGGAGTCTTAAGTGGTTTAAAGGGTTTAAAAATTTTATGGTTGTGGTTTTGTTCGGTTTAAAAAAGCTGGTATGCTTATAGGTAGCTTTTTCCGGGGGGGGCGTTGCCCGAATTTTTCGAAATATAATGAAATTTTTTCCTTGTTATTTTTTTATTTTTCTTAGTTCTTTTTAAATTTTTTGGGTAAATTATTGATATTAGTTTGAATTATGGAGTACCTGTATTTTGGGTTTTATTAAGTTTTGGTTTTTCCTAGCCCCCGGGTTTCTGCCAGCTGTTATCCCCCAAAAGGTTTACCTATTAGTTTTTTATGCATTTTAATAAAAATATTAAATTAATAAATAAAAATAAATTAAAAATTAATTTAAACCAATTGACTTCTAATCTCTTAAAAGCCGTTGTCGGCTTTCAATTACCAATGCCAACCCACCCCATCGAAACCCCAAACCTTTTCCCTAAACCCTCCCCCGGCCCCCCCAAATTTTCCCCCCTTCCCAACCACCCCAAACACGAGGGCTCCAACGACTACGGGCCCCCCTCCACCTTCCTCCGACCCTCCCATTCCCCTTTGGGGGGCCCCCTCTTTTTACAACGTCCTTTGTTTTAACTGTTTCCCCCCCTCTTCGCACCTTCTTCCCTTTTTTCCCCCCTCCCTCTCCTTCTTCCCTTCCTTCCCCAATCCCCCCCTTTCCCCTTTGGGGTTTTCCACTTTAAACAGAGAGGGGGAAGGGGGTGGGTGGAGGGGAAGTGGGGGTAAGGAGGGGAAAAGGGGTTTAAGAAGGGGGGAGGTAGGGTCGGGGGGGGGGGAAAGGTGGAAAGTGGTTTGTTTGAGAAAGACCGGCTTTGAAAAGGGGCCAGTGGGCCTTTGCTGCGGGTGTTCGGGCCCATTTTATGATCTTATGACGTAGATAAATAAGCGGCGTATTTCAGTATTGCTTTTTAAAAAAGCACTGAAATTTTAAAAATAGCCCCCCCCTTTCCCCCCCCTTTTTTTTTTCAAAGGGTTTTACAAAATTTTAAAGGGTCCCCAGCTTTTTTTAAAAAAGCTATTTACAGGTTAAGGATTCCCAACTTTATTTTGGGAAGCTAAGAGCTTTTTCCTTTCTAAACTCATTTTAAAGCATTTTTTTTTGCTAGAGAAAATACAAGTAGGGAAAAAGGATGGGAATTTGGGGCCCTCTGTGGGGGCCCGCATTTCCCTTTTATTTAACTGACTTTATCTCTTGACATCCCTTATGCGTAGAATGTGTTCCCGACTCGATAAACCTGGGAAAAATAGATCTCAGTGGAGTGATGTTTTTGGGAAGGGGACAAGGCCCCCCCTCTTTTCTCTCTCTCTCTCCCCTTC